GGAGCAGAACTGGTGAGCCAGCAGCCTTTGCTGGGGTGAGCAAAAGAAATGGGGAGACACTGGAAGCTGGCTCGTGTCCCCTGCCCAGGGAGGTGACTTGCTCCAGGTTCTGAATTTCGGCTGCCGCTGCACCTGCTCTGAGACAGTCCTGCACTAGATGGTTTGCATATCACTTGCTCCTCACAGCCACCCCTCATAGAGGTGGAGCAGCAGCCGAAAATCAGAGTGTAACATCTTCTTGGCCCTCAAAACCCTGCTCTCCTGGTCTAGCCTATGGCTGGGAAGTGAGGAGAGCTCCTGGGAGCAGCCCCCACTGCTGCTACCTCTGCAGCAAGGAGGGAGGAGCTGGACTGAAAAAATGGACAGGAAGCAGGCTGGGAAAATTCCCACATCTTCAGCCCCTGCCAGCATCTCCCAGAGCTCCAGAGGGGCAGGCCCACCTCCATTTATTGAGGCTCCCAAAGTACTAAAATAAGAAGAAATGCCAAAGCAGGGATACCAAAGTTGTGGTATGTTTTAAAGGCTTGCAACAAAGAAACCAACGCTCTAATAATTCACATGCAATACAACATAAATATGCTAATCAAAAGCCAAATTGAGGCTTTACATATAAATATCCATTAATGCCACAACATATATTAGTGAAATGGTTTAGCAGCAGGACCCAGATTAAAGATGTGTGATGAGCACCGTTCTCTTTCAATTCTGTCGGCGATCGCTTGGATTGGATTTATGAAACCTTTTGGAGATAACAGCAGAAGTTGAAATTTGAGGCCTTTTGCTTTTGCAAATGAGAGTCATGGGCCGATATGATTCTAATGCCTCACTTTCCTCCCTCCATCCCGCTTTCCCCACCTCCAGACCCACCAAGCCTCCCAGTCAATCCTCCAGTCTCACGCAGATGCCCCCACCCCAAATCTCCGCTGTGATTCCAATCCTTGGATCCACAAAAAACCCTCTCCTGTCCAGGAGCAGGGTCTCCTCCTGCTGAGAGAGGAAGGCTGCAGGCTCTTCGATTACTGCTGCATAGACTGGAAAGACTGATGGAGCTGCCTGCACAGCTAAGTGGCAGAGGCCACTCTCCACATCTGGGCTTTTTTTTCTCTCTTCCTGCACTCTTCCTCCATCCCTCCTTGTGAGTGCCTGGCTCCTTGGGACACTGTGCAAACACTGTTGTTGTTACAAATGTCTAAACCCACTTGACATTTAGTGTAGCAGAGACCCTGCAAGGAACTAACTACATGCTCCGTGGTGGAATTCACTGCACCAAAAGATTAGATGGTTCCACTGCGTGCCTACAAATCTCTATTGCTTTGAAAATGATTAGAAAAGGAAAAAAGATCAGGCTTTTTCCAGATGCCCCCAAAAGACAGTCAGTCAAAGGGTGTATTATTCACTGGAACACATGCCTGCAACCAAGACAACATCTGGGCAAGCAGAGATTAATATTATATTAATTCACTCATTCAACCATTCACTCCACCAACATCCACTGCCTGCTGCTTGTGTCAGGTACTGAGCTAGGTGTCAGGTACATAGCTATGAATAGGACATGGTCCTTTTCTTTCACCATCAGAGGATGAAGTAGGTGAACATAACTAGGGACAAGGAGACAGCTGAGTAAACACTACCCTGGGGTCTCACAGTGTTGAAGGTAGCCGGCTTAGTGTGAACCTGTCACTCAGGGCCAAGGCGTCAGCGCTCCTCTCCCTATCCACTCTTCCTTCCTTGAATTCTGCCTTCTTCCATCCTCTGCCTCACTTTTCCTCCCACCTCCCTGTCCTCTTCTCCTCCTACCCTCAAGCTCTGGGTAAACATAAAAAGCACACACATTCTTATGCCACAGGCTCCCTCAGCCCTCAAAAGCTATCATTCTTCATGCAAATGCCTGCTTTACACATGCTTTGCAATTTATTTCCATTCCAACCTTCAAAAGCAGAGGGACTTATCAGTAAATATTATAAATGCTTGATTTTTTTTAAGCTGCAGCTACAACAGCAAGTGGCTGACAAGGTTGGCTCTGCACATGCACAGCACTGAATGAAGCCCCATGAGAAGCAGGAATTGTTAGAGCTCTAGAGTTTAGCTCAGTTCCCTGTGTCGAGGTAGCTTCTATCTGTGTCAGTCAGTGCGTCACAACACCAGCCTCCTCCACCCGCCGCACACAGCACCCCTTAGCAAGTGCCTTCCCACACAATATCATCAACTGTAAAAACTGCAACCGTCGCCAAAGTTACAACCGCGGTTATTTCTACAAACGGGAGGGATGCGGTCTGCTCAGTCAGTCCCTGGTAAGTAGGTTACCCATGGGACAAACACGTTTCCTTTGAGTTAATTCAGAATGCCCTTGGCTCAGCTATCTATCCACACAAGAGACCAATATCCTGGAATAAAATGTTTGTTTGCATGTATGAGATTCTTTCTGCGTGTTGGTATAAGAAACGGAGGCTGGGTCCACACACTCTGTAGTCTGTGTGAGCAGCTGTAAAGTCCTCAGCTGCCTGATTTTAATACACTTCACCTTGAAAAATTATCTCCTTCATGAAAAATGGCTTAGTTAGACTTCACCTTATATGAACCTTTGAGTTAGCCCTAGGCCCTCTGCCTCACCAGGCCCCGTGTAAGCTTTGTTCAAATGCTCCTTTCTGCACTGCCTCCCTCACCTTTCCCTCTAGAGCTTTCCATCTGCTTGTGATTTTCAATTTTGCTATAAATTGTAACTCTATTCTCTGAGATGGCCCTCAAGACCATCCCAATGGCTGAGAAAACTCATAGCCCTTACAAAAACTGAACAAAGCATCCCTATATCCCACCCCATACCATCTCCCCGCACCCAAAGAATCTGTCCTAATAGTTTGCGTCACTGCTATCACTTTAAATGAAAATTTTCTTATCATTATATTAATCATAGCACCCAGGATACTGCATAAAATAATGAAAATCTGAATGGAAGATTTTTGAACGCTTACTGACGCAGTATGCTGCAACCGGCTAGTAAAACAAGAAAACACCATTTGGGGGGAGGAATATATTAAATATTATCATCTATCACCAAAAGAAAAAAAGAAATGAGGTTTACTATGAATGTAAAGATTAAGACCAAAGAAGCAAAAAGAATATTGAAATCACCACTTTTATATGTGTGTATTACACATATTCAGAATTCAGAGTTATATTAAAGGAAATTTTCACAGAATGGAAAGGAATCACAGGAGAGGGGGTGGGAGAGGGTTTTTTGACTATTTTCAAAAAATGATTTATGGTGTCAGGAGCGTCAAGAAGGAAGCCTGGGAGAGAGAGGTGGATGAGAACATTGAGTGAGCAGCTCGAAGAGGAGCGCCTTGGCTCCAAAAGCAGGAGGCAGGAATGGAAACACAGAGCACTCCTTACCGAGAAGAAGTTTACATTCACGCCAAGAAAGTGGGTGAGCATCGCAGCGTAGAGCCAGACTTCCCCTGCCTGACTCACAAGATGGGCTCTGGTATTTTAGACCCCCACAGAGGGACCTGAGGAGATTCTCTCTCAGTGGCACCAACCCAAACTCTGATTCATCATCCGTTTGGGAAAGGCCCCTTTTTGGTCCTCTAAAGGGGTGGTGTCTTTGTGAAACTACTATTTACACACAAGATGGCAATCCCTCAAGGGAGGTGGGGACGTCGGTTTTGGAAGGGTACAGGAAAGCCTAGAGAGTGCTGGTTACTTCCTTTGAAATCAGAGAACATCTCTAGGAAGAGGATGGATGTTGGTCTGCTGACCAGCTGTCAAGGGGTGTGTGGCCCACAGACAGCCTGCTCCCCAACACTCTGCTGTCAGCCACAGGCTCCAAACTTCTTTCTCAGAATGAGACAGTTTCAGGGAAAGAAACCGTGTTTCCTTCTCAACCAAGGCCAGAGCCTCTCCCTGGAAGCCTGAGGGGTCCAACTCCTTGCCAGGCAGCAGTGCAGGCTGGGCCCCACATCGACTTCTTCGGGTGAAAATGGCTCTCCTGAAGCCAGAGTTCAGCATCTCCGATTCCCAGAATTACACCCACGTACTCTTGGCCTCCTCCGTGGCTCTAAGGCACCCTGACTTCTGCCACCCTCCCTTCACCATCAAAGGTGTTTCTGACCTAAGGTGTTTCTCAAGGTGCTTTGATCAGGGGTAAGAGGACCCCAGACCCAAAAAGGGCTAAAAACAGCAACAGTTGCCCCTGGAGGTTTGGGTCTTTACAGGCCTATCTTGTCTCGGCACTCCGACACAGAAATACCCGGGATGCCTGCCCATGGACAGAGCTGGTCTCTGACCAGGCCTTCGGGCCAGGCTGGAGCACCAGTGCCTGGCTTCCAAAGGAACTTCCCCTCCCTGTCATGGGTGGCTCATCTTGAGTGACCTGAGCATAAGATGTTGCCAAATGCCCCGAGGAGAGGAGAAGGCGCCTTCTTTTCCGCTACCAGATCCGGAGGGTCAGGAAAGGTGCTCCCTGAGAAGGGTCAAGGAAGGTCAGGAGCCCCACTCCAGTTCAGAGACACCTGGGAAAGAAGGTCTCCGCGCCAGAGTGGATCACCTAGGGAGGCGCCGGGCAGATCTGCCCCCCCGGAGACTGGAGCCGCGTTTACCCAAACCAGCTCTCCTGGAAAGCCAGCGGGGGCGGCGCGCCCGAGCAGGGCAGCCCACCACCCGCGGCCGGTAGGCAAGGTCGGGAAAGTTGGTCCTAGAGCGCCGCGGGCCTGCCGGGCGCTGTCCAGGGTTCTGAAAGGTCTCCGCGAGCAGCGGGCGGGCGGCTCTGCGCGCCCTCAGCCTCCCGGCCACCCCGCTCTGCCCTTCCAGCCTCCTGCCCTGTCCCCTTCCCGGCCGCGCAGAAGCCTCCGTCCCTCCTCTGCGCCCACCAAGCCCTCCCCGTTCGGGTGCCCCCAACTCCGCCGCACCGGGCCCCGCGCCCCAACGCGTCCCGGGCCGCCCGACCCCTGTCCCCAGCAGCCACTTCCAGGCGCCGCGGCGCTTTCACCGCCGCCCCCTCCTACCTTCTTCTTTCGGTCACGGGAGCGGTTTCTCCGCTTCCTGTTGGATTCCTCCTTCTCCTTCTGCTCCTGGAGGGCCTGCGCCTCGATGTCTTTGATTTTCTTCAGCTGTTTGGCCGCTTGAGCCATGGCGTGTCACGGCGCTCCCGTCCCCGCCTCCTGAACCCCTAGCGCTCAGCGATCCCAGAGACGACACCCCCTAAGAAGGAGAAGGGGTCTCTGCTCCGCCGAGGGGACAGCGTCCGTGGCGCGCCGCAGGCCGGCTGCGGCGGGGCCGCGGGAAGGCGAAGGCAGCTCCGGGCGCGGAGGACGAGGGGCGGCTGCCCGCGGCCCGGGATGGCGCTGCCGCCGCGGCCGCAGCTCGTTCGCCGGCGCCCGGGACGGGCTCTGGGCTGGGCCCGCCGCCTCCCTCCCTCCGCCTCCCTCCCTCTCCTGCGGCGGCGGCGGCGGCGGCGGCGGCGGCGGCGCGGGGGGGCGGGGGCGGGGAGGCGGCTTGTACTGCGGCGGCGGCGGGCGGTGAGCGGCCGCGGAGGGGGCGGACTCGGGCACTCAGCGCGGGAAGGCCCGGGGGCCCGGCCGGAGCGACGAGGCTGGGCGCGCTGGGCGTCCGAACGGGGTCATGGCTAGCGCCGGGCTTCCGCCTTTGCAGAGCCCCTCGCCGTCGGGCGGCGGGAACAAAGCGGCCGATCTACCCCGGACCCCGCCGCGGGCCGCAGGGCCAAGCCCGGGAAAGAGGGCAGGCTGCGGCGGGCGGCGCGCCCCGCGCCGGGTCGACCCGGCGGACCAGCGCGCCTGGCGGCGGCGAGCGCGGCGACATCGCGGGAGCGGAGGCTCTGCCGGGAGGGCGGGCGGCAGAGGGCGGGGGGGGGCCTGGGGCGCCCCGGGCGGCGGCCCCTGAGGGCCCGGACGCGCCACCCCCAAGCCAGCCGCGCGGTTCCGCCCCGAGCGCCCTCGGCGGGGGTCGCGCGCCTCCGGGGCTCCCTGGGGAATGCCAGTTCCCCGAGTCTCGCGCTGGGAGCTTGATTTGCCCCTTTCAGGCCATGTGGGCCTTTTCATTTGCATATTTCCCAATTATAGATGAAAACGTGTCCAGGATCAAGTAAATTGTTTTCCTTTGAGTCTTTTTGGGACAGAAGTGGAACTAGGTCCCCGCTCCAGGCCCGCCCGCCCTCCATCCCCGGCGCTCCCGCGCACCCCTCCCTGGGGACGCCGCCTGCGCCCGTGCCCCGCGGAGAAGAGCTGCACTCGGGTCCGCAGCGCTAACCCAGCCTGCGGCAGGCGGAGGGGGCCTCGGGCTCAGCCAACCACCCCGTCACGCGGCACAGGAGCCAGCCGGGGTCCCCGGCTCGGGAGCTGCCGCCCACCCACTATCTCTCCATCTCGTGGGATGAGCTCTTTTTCCACAAACGGCTAAGGAAGGAGTTGTGAAAAACAATATTTGAGACTTGGAGAAGAGTTATTATGAAATAGTCTGCCTCCTTCTGCCTTCCCTAAGCTGAGGGCTTACTGTAGACATTTACCCAGCCAGGCTAGAGCCCAGAAAGGAGGCGTCTACCAAGCTGCAGAGAACGACGTCCTGGGCCTGCGAGCTGGGCCCCACGCTGTGCAAACTTGGGAGCAACTGGGCCTTGCCTCTGACCCCTGCAGCCCGCAAGCGCGGCCTCACAGGACCTCCCCCGCCTCCCACCACCCCCCTCCCCCACGTCTCTGCCCTTCCAGCCCCTTCTCCACCTGCACTCTTCTGGCAGATGCCTTGTTTTGAAGACGATTTCCCAGGGCTGGGTCCTGGACTGAAGTCTCCTCACTCTGGACACAGTGCAAGCCACAAATCCCAATTTCATATGGAATTTAAATTTGCAAGTAGCCATATCTTTAAAAAAAAAAAAAAAAAAGAAAAGAAACTGGTAAAATGAATTTTAATAATACATTTTAATTCAATATATTCAAAATATTTCATCAGCATGCAGTGGATTTATTATGAATAAGGCATTTCACATTTTTACTAAGCTCAACATTCAGTGTGTATTTCACACTTACAGCATACCTAAATTCAGACCCAGCACATTTTAATGGCTTAATAGTTACATTTGACTAGTGGTTACTCTATTACACAGCACAGCTCTAGACTGTCTCCCCAGGCCAACTCACCCCCTGGCCTGGGCTGTAATCAACCTACCGACAACTCACGTATTTTATCTCCAGCACAGCCCTCTTCCTTGAGCACGGGCCCCAGGGCCACTGTTCCCCTGGGCCTCCTCACAGTCATGTCTCCATTCCCTCTGGCCACCCACCTGTCCACCCTCCGCTGCAGGATGGACTGCACATCACAGATCTGGCTATTGTCACTTCTCCACTTAGCATCCTTCCTGTTTGCTCCTGAAGATCAGAATCTGTTACACCGCCTATGAAGACCTGAATGATCAGACCCTTCCTACCCACTGACTCATCTCGCCCAGGTCTGTGCTGGTCCCTGTGCTCCAGCCTCAGCAGGCTTTGAGCAGGTCCATGTCGTCCCTCTACCAGGCTGCTGTGTCCTTGATGGCCCCTGCCCAGACTGCCCTGTGTCCTCTCCACCCCCATCCCCAGTCTAGCTAACTCCAACTCACTCATCAGATTTCACTGCGGTCTTCACTTCCCTGGGGTCCCCAGACTGACTCTATCCTCTTGCAGTAACATCATGTGTGCCTCCTTCATGACATATGTAATTTTACATTAGTGTGATTGATTGGATTCATGCATAGCTCTCTCACTAGACTTGAATCTCCATAAGGGAAGGGGTAGTGTCTGGTTTTGCTCACTGGTATCTGCAGCACTTGTATAGTGCCTGACAAATAGTAGGGGCTCGATAAAGATGTGTTGAAGAAATTCACAGGTCTACTGTGTCCTGGTTTAAGGAATAATCATAAAAAAAAAATAGCAGCATTTGCATTGCACCAAGCATTATCACCATTTTACAGATAGGAAAGATGAGGCACAGAGAGGCTGAGTAACTTATTCAAGGTCACACAGCTAGTAAATAATGGAGCTGCCTGTAATCCCAGTGCTTTGGGAGGCTGAGGCTGGGGGATCACTTGAGCCCAGGAGTTCAAGACCACCTTAGGCAACATAGTGAGACCCTGTCTCTACAAAAAATAAAACAATTAGCCAGGCATGGTGGCTCATGAGTATTGTCCCAGCTACTCAGGAAGCTGAGGTGGGAAGATCACTTAAGCCCAGGGGTTTGAGGCTGCAGTGAGCTATGATTGCACCACTGCACTCCATTCTGGGTGACAGGGCAAGACATTGTCTCTAAAAATAAAATAAAATAAAATAAAATAAAAATAAAATAAAATAAAATATAGCGGAACCAGAACTTGAATCCTGAGCAGCTGGCTGTGGAGTCTTAACCATTGCACTGCACTAAATCACTCCATTTCCTTATCTATAAACAAGAATGCTGATATTACCTCCTTCGAAGGATTGTCAGGAGGACCAGAAGAGAAAGAGAACGTTAAATGTTTCAGTAAAACATCAAGCGCTGTACAGAGTGTCAGTTTCTTCATGGACTAGTTGGTGTCTAAGGCTCCTTCAGCCCCAGAACCCTGATTCCTCCTGTAGATCTAAATCTTTATAGAAGCCTTTTGAAGATTAGAAAGAAACAATAATCTCCCTGACTCAAAGGGAATATATTATCCTTAAGGAACAGCAGACAGCACTTGGTAGATAGGAAAGTCTTGCCTGAGTCCCCCTCATATCAACACTTAGAGTGGTGACTGTGGCCCTGAATATTCAAAAATCTCAGTTGGGGTACAACGAGAGTCCTGGTGATGTCCCTGGTCTACTTATGAGGTAGCTCCCCTGTATCCTATTATATATTGGGAAGATTTCAGGCTGAGAAAGAGAAAGTGGGAATGTAATATTGAAGCTATGGTCCGAAGCCTCTAACAGGCTGATCCGGACACCATGAGAGTGATAAGTAAATGGTGGGAGCTCTAGCTGAGTTCCTACTGAAATGAGGCACCAGGGCAACACCAGCATCTCAGCAGCCAGAGGAGCTTCCTCACTCCTGTTCAGAGAAAAGATGATGCAACGCTTCTCCACACTCCCCATTGCAACAGACCATCATCATCATCATCACTAGCATCATCGCCATCATATTCATCCTCATCATCACCATCATCATCACCATTATCACCAGCATCATCATCCCCATCATCATTATCCCCGTCATCACCATCACCATCATCACCATCACCATCACTATCATCACCATCACCAGCATCAACATCACCAGCATCATCACCATCATCATCATCCTCATCATCATCACCATCATCACCATCACCAGTATCATCATCACCAGCATCATCATCACCATCATCATCATTCACACCATCATCACCATCATCACCATCACCAGCATCATGACCAGCATCATCATCCTCATCATCATCATTCACATCATCATCATCACCATCATCATCACCATCATGCCATCACCAGTATCATCATCACCATCATTACCATCGCCATCATCATCATCATCTGTCCTGCATCATCGTTATCTCCATCATCACCACCATCACCATCATCTTACCATCTCAACATCACCATCCTGGCATCACCATCACCAGCATCAACATCACCAGCATCATCATCACCATCATCACCATCACCAGCATCATCACCAGCATCACCATCATCATCACCATCATCATCACTGTCATCATCACCATCATCATCACCATCATCACCATCACCAGCATCATGACCAGCATCATCATCCTCATCATCATCATTCACATCATCCTCATCACCATCATTACCATCACCAGCATCATCATCACCATCATCACCATCACCAGCATCATCATCACCATCACCAGCATCATCACCAGCATCATCATCACCATCATCACCATCACCATCATCACCATCACCAGCATGAACATCACCAGCATCATCATCATCATCATCATCTTCATCATCACCATCATCACCATCATCACCATCACCATCATCACACCATCACCAGCATCAACATCCATCAGCATCATCATCACCATCATCACCATCACCAGCATCATCACCAGCATCACCATCACCAGCATCATCATCACTGTCATCACCATTACCAGCATCATCACCAGCATCATCACCATCATCATCATCACCATATCACCATCGTCGTCGCAATCATCATCACCATCATCACTATCCCCGCTCAGCTCATCACCACTAGCATCTGTCTCATCATCATCATCACCATCATCGTGCCCCATCATCATCCGGTATCATCATCCCACAGCATCATGCCATCATCATTACCAACGCTCATCATCAGCGTCACCATCATCATCATCACATCCTCGTATCGCCATGTCACCATCACCATCATCACCATCACCGGCATCAGCATCA